TCTCCATGTCATCTCAGGAAGTCCCTAAGTGGTTTCTCCATGTGGGTTAATCGGGACTTCCTTACAGCCTCTTGGCCTCGGGGCAGTCAGATTCCCCATGTGGCAGCTGTAGGCTTCCAAAATGAGTGTCCTAGTGAACAAATCAGAAGCTGCTTTGTCTTTTATGACTTAGCCTTGGAAGTCACATAATACCACTTCCACCATACTCAGTTGGTCAAAACAGTCACAGAAGTCTATTCGGTTAAAGGTGGAGGGGACAGGGACCTCACTTCTTGATTGGAGAAGTGTCAAAGATAAGCTTATGGACTGGGAGTGGGCGTCGTGGCTGTCTTCGGACAATACCATTTGCCACAGTGGTTTGTTAGGCCGTGTAAGGTCTGGACCCTTACTACCTCCCTGAGCTTTCTTGTTGAATAACTTTCATTTCTTGCTCTCTGTTCCAGGCAAATGGCTTCTTTGGAAACTCCAGCACACTCCTCCCTCAGGGCCTTTGCGTTTGTTCTTTTCTCTCTAGAACATTCTTCCCCCAGATATTTATTTATTTTATTTTTTATTTTGGAGACAGAGTATTACTCTGTTGCCCAGGCTGGAGTGCAATGGTGCGATCTAGGCTCACTGCAACCTCCGTTTCTCGGGTTCAAGTGATTTTCCTGCCACAGCCTCTTGACTAGTTGGGATTACAGGTGTGCACCACCACGACCAGCTAATTTTTGTTTGTTTATTTATTTATTTTTGAGACAGAGTCTCACTCTGTCACCCAGGCTGGAGTGCAATGGCATGATCTTGGCTCACTGCAACCTCTGCCTCCCTGGTTCAAGTGTTCAAACAATTCTCGTGCCTCAGCCTCCCGAGTAGCTGGGACTACAGGCACACGCCATCCCACCCAGCTAATTTTTGTATTTTTAGTAGAGTCGGGGGTTTAACCATGTTGGCCAGGCTGGTCTCAAACTCCTGACCTTAAGTGATCCACTCATCTTGGCTTCCCAAAGTGCTGGTATTACACGTGTGAGTCAACACATCTGGCCAGAATATTTATTATTCATTGAGACAGGGTCTTGCTCTGTTGCCCAGGCTGGAGTACAGTGGTGTGATCACAGTTCACTACAGCCTCAACCTTCCAGGCTCAAGCAATCCTCCCACCTCAGCTTCCCAAATAGTTGGGGCCACAGGTGCACACCACCACACTGGCTAATGTTCTTCGTCTTTTTTTTTTTTTTTTTGTAGAGAAGGGGTGTCATTATGTTGCCCAGGCTGGTCTCAAACTCCTGGACTCTAGTGATCCTCCTGTCTTAGCCTCCCAAAGTGCTGGGATTACAGGTGTGAGCCACCACGCCTGGCCTGGAGTGGATTTTTATAGTAGTGGATAACTGATGCACCTTCCTTGTCTTTGTCGCACTACAATCACTACAATCCCAGTAATTATTTCTCAAACATGAACCCTTCTATTCTTTTGTTCTCATCTAGGTAACACATAGTGTGAAGCAATATACAAACACATATACATACTTCTTGGAAACAAGCTGTATTAGTTCCCTAGACCTACAGTAACAAATTACCACAAACTAGGGGGCTTGAAACAATAGAAAGTTATTCTCTCACAGTTCTAGTGGCTACAATTCATAGTCAAGGTGAGGGCAGGGTTATTCTCCCCCAAGGATCCTAGGGGAGAATCAGCTTTGTGTCTTTCTCTTGGCTTCTAGTGTCCCCAGCAATCTTTGGTGTTCCTTGGCTTGCAGCTGTTTAAGCCCAATATCTGCTTCCATCATCACATGGCATTCTCCCCCTATGTTTTCAGGTCATATTGGATTAAGAGCTGACCATCTTCCACTATGACCTTGTCTTAACTATGTCTACAAAGACCCTATGTGCAAGTAAGGTCATGGTCTGAGGTACTGGAGGTTAGGACTTCAATATATCTCCTGGGGAAATACAATTCAACCCATGACACATGCCTATCATTTCCCCCTCAGTTGTACATTCTAGAGCCCTTAAACATTTCAGTCTTCAATGTGACAAAGGCTGGGCATGGTGGCTCATACCTGTAATCCCAGCACTTTGGGAGGCCAAAGCAGGAGGATCATTTGAGGTCAGGAGTTTGAGACCAGTCTGGCCAAATTGGCGAAACCTCTACTAAAAATACAAAAATTAGCTGGGCATGATGGTTCAGGCCTGTAGTCCCAGTTACTTGGGAGGCTGAAGCAGGACAATCCCTTGAATCCAGGAGGCAGAGGTTGCAGTGAGCCAAGATTGCGCCACTGCACCAGCCTGGGTGACAGAGAGAGACTCCAGCTCAAAAACAAACAAACAAAAGTGACAAAACAGTAATTCTTAGTATTTAATCAACAAAGACCTATTGAGTGCCTACTATGTGCAAAGCACTCATCTGGGCTTTATTTGCTTCAAACTAATCTGTATAAACACTTGATCATTAAATTAGAATTTGAATGAATTTGACCTCAGTGTTTTTCCGTTGGAACAAGGTAGGCAGTGAGGAACAGATCCATACAAATGCCTGTGAATGGTGAAATGACTATGCCAGGCACAGTTGCCAGGAGATTTCACAGACTGGCAGTTACTCATTTGTAATCAACAACCTTTCGCAAAGCTAAAGTTGATGGGTGTTTTGTGGGCCTGTTAATATGACCACGACACTCAGCTTTTCGCCCCTGCAATGAGAGGATGATTCCTCAGCTATTTTTGTTTGAACACTTTTTTTTCTAAACCAAATTTCCCCAGGATTTTCTTTCTGGTTTCTTTTGGAGCCAGAACCTCCTATGTTTCCAGCTTTGAGATTAGAAGTACTTTCTCCACACCTTCAGATTTTCTAGTATTGCATAAGTTGTACTTGTCCAGACTCGTTCATTCTTTAGTTAGTTGTTTTTCTCATCCTTTCATTTGTGGTGTTTACTTCATCCCTTCCTCTGCTTTCCATGGGTTATTTTGATGTCCTTTTCCCAATTACATTAATTCAATGTTTAATTCATTTATTTTCATTATTTCTTGCTTAGTAATGAGTATGTATGAGCTCGGCTGGGCACAGTGGGGTGGCTCAAGCCTGTAATCCCAGCACTTGGAGAGGTTAAGGCGGGCAGATCATTTGAGGTCAGGAGTTTGAGATCAGCCTGGCCAACATGATGAAACCCCATCTCTACTAAAAATACAAAAATTAGCTGGGTGTGGTGGCGGGTGCCTGTAATCCCAGCTACTTGGGAAGCTGAGGCATGAGAATCACTTGAACCTGGGAAGTAGAGGTTGCAGTGAGCTGAGATCGCTTCACAGCACTCCAGCCTGGGCGACAAAACAAGACCCTGTCTCAAACAAACAACAAACAAAACAAGGAAGGGCGCAGTGGCTCACACCTGTAATCCCAGCACTTTGGAAGGCCAAGGCGGGTGGATCACCTCAGGTCAGGAGTTTCAGACCAGCCTGACTAACGTGAAGAAATCCCGTCTCTACTAAAAATATAAAATTAACCAGGTGCGGTGGCACGTGCCTGTAATCCCAGCTACTTGGGAGGTTGAGGCAGGAGAATCACTTGAACTCGGGAGGTGGAGGTTGCGGTGAGCCGATTGCACTCTAGCCTGGGCAACAAGAGCAAAACTCTGTCTCAAAGAAAAAAAAATGTAGAAGGTATGTATTTTCTTTCTTTTTTCTCCATATCAGAAAGTAAAGGCTAATGTCTTTTCTAAGTACCAGGCTGTCTATCTATTGAAATCCCCCATCCATTCACTCAGCTAAGATTCACTCACTGTCTCGCCCTGACGTCATTTCTATCTTCTTTGAAATCAGTTCTGGACCTCTGAGGAGAATGGTAACTGTGTTTATTTTCATAGAGCCTTCTTTCTGCCTTCACATAGTGTCACAGCACAAAGCAATGATAATAAATGGACAACCATTATTGAACATTGACCCTGTAGCTGGCATTGCACTAAGTACTACATTAACTCCTCCATTCTAATCCTCTATGCCCAGTTTGCAGACAAAATGATACTCACTCGAATGTTTGTCCTCTGTTTCCATTCTTGAAACACGCCAAACCTCCAGTTTAGGGCCTTCCCCTAAAACTGGACATAGGAAGGGCCTATGTCTTTCTCTTCCACATTCTAATTAAGTACTCAGCACAAATGCCATCTCTTCAAAGCTTTTCCGACCGCCTATCTACAACAGCCTGCCTCCACAGTTTCACATACTCTTTTATGTTACTTATAAAAGAATCTCACTCAATGAAACTCGGATTTCCTCTCCTGTAAAATGAGGTAGGCCCTCTCGGCTCAAGGTCACTCCCTCTGGTTCTACACAGACGAGTGGGAAGAGAGGGCCCTTGGCAGCAGAGGAAGAGGAGGAAGGAGGGAAGGGAAGAGGAGGAAGGAGGGAAGGGAAGAGGAGGAAGGAGGGAAGGGAAGAGGAGGAAGGAGGGAAGGGAAGAGGAGGAAGGAGGGAAGGGAAGAGGAGGAAGGAGGGAGGGACAAAAGCGGGGGTGGGTGCAGAAGCGGGGGGTCTGGCGGTCCAAGGGAGTAGAGGGGAGGGGGGACTCGAGTGGGCGCCAGGTGGAGCGGGGACAAGGGTTGTCAAGGGAGCACGGCAGGGGGCGCGGTGTGTCCCGCAGGGACTGGGTAGGGCAGCGCCTGCTATGGACTAGGGGCCCAGACTACAAAAGGGTTGTTGGAGGGATGGGTGCGGGTGGATTCCGAAACCAAGAGGCTCCGAAGGGCGACTAGAGGTGGCGGGGGCGGGGGGCGCGCAGGAGTTGCCAAGGTCGGACAGAGGGGAGCTCGGTCTATCCGGCTGGGACTCGGCCAGACACGGCGCGGGGTTCGGGAGTCGCGGAGAGGCGCGGAGGTAGATCTGAGCTGAGTGGAGGGCGCGTGGGGGTTGGTGCAGAGGGGCGCCGAAGGGACTGGGCCCAGCGGCCGGTGGAGAGGGGCCGCGGAGAGGCGCAGGTGGCAGCTGGGCGGCAGAGCGAGCGCAGAGGCGGCGCGGTTTGCGCGGCTGGGCGGGGCCAGGCGCCGGGGACTGGGTGCGCCGGGGTCGCCGAGAGGCGGGAGCAGCCGCGGGGTCGGTCGCTGTCTGGGCTGCCCCAGTGGCTGTCGGCGCACTTCCGGGAACGCCTGGGAACCTCAGTAACCGCCTGATAGCGGCGCTGCCAGCTGGCCGGCGCGGGCTGCGAAGCGGGTGAGAGCGCAGGCCAGGCCAAAGCCCTGGTAGCCGCGCGGCGCGGGCCTGGGTCTGCGGCCATGGGGGCGTCCGCGCGGCTGCTGCGAGCGGTGATCATGGGGGCCCCGGGCTCGGGCAAGGGCACCGTGTCGTCGCGCATCACCACACACTTCCAGCTGAAGCACCTCTCCAGCGGGGACCTGCTCCGGGACAACATGCTGCGGGGCACAGGTGGGAGCTCTGGGCCCAGGGCCGGCCGTGCGCTGTCACCCGGGTCGGACTTTGCGTGCGAGGTGGCCGAAGCTGGGCACGCGGGTCCCAGGCTGCGGGCGCGGCATTTCCCTCCCGTCGCCCGGGACAGAGACCTCGGGCTGCTGAGCGACTGCGCCCCGAAACCTCCGGCCTCCGTGGGCCGCTTCGGGCGGGTTATGGGAGAGTGGGGCTGGGGAAGGTACTGGAAAGTTAGGTCAAGCTCGAAGTTCAGAGATGAAAGGAAACCACCGGGCTTTGTTTCAGAGGCACTAGTCTTCCCAGTGGCAGCCACTCTTGGGGGTCCATCGAGCTGAGCTGCAGCTTATTCAACGTGCTGGTGCATTTAGAAGACTGGCATTAGCCCTGCTAGAGTTTGCTTGTTTTGTTCTCTTCTCTTCTTTTCTCCTCTCTTTCTTGTTTTCCTTTTTTTTTTTTTTTTTGGTGTGGTTAAGCTCTATGGGATCTTGTAGTTCTGACCTTTCCCCCATATTCCGAAGGCCAAGTATTATTTACCCTTGTTGCAGTCATAAAATTATCTCAAATTTTGATATCCCTAGATTTCGTAGACACGGAGGCTATTCTTACGCGTGGTTACATAAAATATTTTGTTTCTCATGCCAAATGAATTCTTACAGCTCAGCACGAAAGCCAGTTAACAATCTACACTATACAATGGGTGAATTTGTGGTATGCAAATTCTCTCTTAAGAAGGTTGTTTTTGAAAAGCCAATAGCGGGAGTTTTTTTCTCAAAAAATGTTGACCTTTTCAAAATAGAACCTGTTTTGAAACTCATTTTGAAACCCATTTACTATATAGAAATAATGCCTACACAAGGCCTTTTTCTTTCTTTTCTTTTCTTTCTTTCTTTTTTTTTTTTTTTGTAAGGATAAGAAACAGGATAGACGTGTATAGCATAAAAAACAACGCCGTCCTTCGTTCCCTACCTCAGTCCCATTCTTCGGGGGGGGGAACAGAGTTTCCTTCTAGAAAGGTTTACTTTGTAAGCACAGATACGTGTATCACTTATTTTCTTTTTCTTTTTTTGGTTTGTTTGTTTTTTGAGACGGAGTCTTGCTCTGTCGCCCAGGCTGGAGTGCAGTGGCGTGCTCTCGGCTCACTGCAACCTCTGCCTCCTGGGTTCAAGCAATTCTCCTGTCTCAGCCTCCCTGGTAGCTGGGACTACAGGCGCATGCCACCACGCCGGGCTAAATTTTGTATTTTTGGTAGAGATAGGGTTTCACTGTGTTAGCCAGGCTGGTCTCCATCTCCTGACCTCGTGATCCACCCACCTCGGCCTCCCAAAGTATTGGGATTACAGGCATGAGCCACCGCTCCCGGCCAAGGTGTGTCTTTTCTTGTATGTAATATGTGATCATACTATGTATATATACTCTGCATCAGTGTGGTTTCACTTCGTGTCTGGGATATATTTCACATGAAAACGGACACATCCGTTTCATTCTGTTTTTGTAGGTATGTATTTTCAGAATCTAGTATGATTTATGTAACCAGTTCCCACCTGTAATCCCAGCACTTTGGGAGGCTGAGGTGGACAGATCACTTGAGCTCAGCAGTTCTAGACCAGCCTGGGCAACATGATGAAACTGCGTCTCTATAAAAAATTCAAAAACAATTAGCAGGGCGCGGTGGCAGGCGCCTGTGGTCGTAGCTACTCGGGAGGCTGAGGTGGGAGAATCACTTGAACCTGGGAGGCGGAGGTTGCTGGGAGCCGAGATTGCAACACTGCACTCCAGCCTGAGCAAGACCCCATCTAAAAAAGAGAGAGAGAGAGAGAAAGAGAGAGAAAAAAAAGTTGTTTGACTTGCTTGCTAAATGTTGTTAATGCAACATATTGAAGTAGTTAGGTAACATTAAACAATCCCAGATACTGATACTGGTTGGGGTCAGGTTAACCAAAGTCTAAGAGAGTAGGCCTGGCACAGTGACTCATGCCTTTAATCCCAGCACTTTGGGGACTGAGGCAGGCAGATCACTTGAGGTCAGGAATTCAAGACCAGCCTAGGCAACATGGCGAAACCCCTGTCTCTACCAAAAATACAAGAAATTAGCTGGGCATGGTGGCTCGCGCCTGTGATCCCAGCTACTCAGGAGGCTGAGGTGGGAGAATCACTTGAGCCCGGGATGCAGAGGTTGTAGTGAGCTGAGATTGTGCCACTGTACTCCAAGCTGGGTGACAGAGTGATACCCTGTCTAAAAAAAAAAAAAAGGAAAAAAGTAAAGCATATTTATTATAAAAGAAGGAAACTATATCTCTTTCATGCAAATATAAAAAAGGTAAATTAAGATCCTTTATAATTCTGCCTTGCCACACAGAGATGATTATAATTAACCCTTGGGTGCATTTTCTTTTATTCTTTTTTTTTATTTTTCTTTTTTATTTCTGTTGCATTTGTATTTGCAAAATGGTTAAATTCTAAAAACAAATTGTCATATTCTAAATGATAGGTTACTTTTTTATTCTCATTTATAGTGAGCATGTTCACGCATCATTAACCAGTCTTAAAAACGATGTTTAAGCTGGGCGGGGTGACTCAAGCCTGTAATCCCAGCACTTTGGAAGGCTGAGGTGGGTGAATCACCAGAGGTTTGAGACCAGCCTGACCAACATGGCAAAACCCTGTCTCTACTAAAAATACAAAAATTAGCCAGGCATGGTGGTGGGCACTTGTAATCCCAGCTACTTGGGAGGCTGAGGCAGGAGAATCACTTGAACCTGGGAGGCACAGGTTGCAGTGAGCTGAGATGGTACCCTTGCACTCCAGCCTAGGTGAAAAGAGTGGAACTCCATCTCAAAAAAAAAAAAAGATGTTTAATTTTATCAAAGTTGTATGGTTATATTTATTTATTTATTTATTTATTTATGTATTTATTTATTTGTTATTTTTTGAGACGGAGTCTCGCTCTGTCCCTCAGGCTGGAGTACAGTGGCGCGATCTCGGCTCACTGCAAGCACTACCTCACGGGTTCACGCTGTTCTCCTGCCTCAGCCTCCCAAGTAGCTGGAACTACAGGCACCCGCCACCATGCCCGGCTAATTTTTTTGTGTTTTTAGTAGAGACAGGGTTTCACCATGTTAGCCAGGATGGTCTCGATTTCCTGACCTCGTGATCTGCCCACCTCGGCCTCACAAAGTGCTGGGATTACAGGTGTGAGTCACCGCACCCGGCCAAAGTTGTATTGTTATTAAACATTTTTATTGGACATGTATGTTGTTAACCATTGTTTATTATAATAAATACTGTTATGACGATCTCTGTACATAAACATTTGGCACATCTTTGCTTATTTCCTTCAAATAAATTCCTAGTATGGAATTTCTACAAATATGGTACTATCAAATACTACAACAGAAGGGTTGTTCCAATTTACTTTCCAGTCACTGTTTTATGAGGGTGCTATATTTTATAGCCCATGGCTGTATTTTATAGCTAAGGTTTAAAATCATCCCAGGAGATATGATAAGAACACTGGAAACATTAGGCAACTCATTGACAGTAGCAAAGCTGGAATGTAGATCATTACTGAAACCTGGAGTCAGGGAACTTGAATCTGACCTTAAGACATTTAGTCCAGTTCTCTCTTTTATTTTGTTTTATTTTTTTGAGACAGAGTCTCACTCTGTTGCCCAGGCTGGAGTGCAGTAGCACAATCTCGGCTTACTGCAACCTCCGACTCCTGGGTTCAAGCGATTCTCCTGCTTCCGCCTCCCAACTCAAGTAGCTGGGACTACAGGCTTGCACCACTGTGGCTGGCTAATATTTGTATTTTCAGTAGAGACGGAGTTTTGCCGTGTTGACAGGCTGGTCTCGAACTCCTGACCTCAGGTGATCCACCTGCCTCGACCTCCCAAAGTCAGGCCTCTCTTGAAGATGAAGAGACTGAGTTCAGGAGAAGAACCTGCTTGATAGTAAACAGTGTTTATTGGGGGATGAGGGTGAAAACGTAGATTTCCTTGTGTGCTAATTAAATACTCTTTTCTCTATGCAGTATTTCCCATACTGAGATTCATGAGATAGATGTGAATTAGACAATGAGATTCATGAGATAGACATTTTAGATAGATAAAAACTTTTTATCTATTTCAAAGTAGATTTGAAACAGACACAAATCTAGCACACCAAAGCTGTATTTCATGAAAATTATAGCTATTAATTTTTAAAGCTAAGTCACTTTAAAGAAAACTATATAGTAAAGAACTGTATAGTAAACTATATAGTGAATAGTAGTTCAGCTATGGTAGAAATCATGAGGTTGACATGTGATTGCTCAGTCTGAGACACTGCACTGTAGCATAGTACTTCTCAGAGATGTAACCTTGGCTAGGTTTGGTGCCTCATGCTTGTAATCTCAGCACTTTGGGAGGCTGAGGCAGGAGGGTCATTTGAGCCCAGGAGATTGAGATTAGCTTGGGTAACATGGTGAGAACCCATCTCTACAAAAAATAAAAACATTAGCTGGATGTGGTGGCACACGCCTTAAGTCTCAGCTCTCTGAGAGGCTGAGGTGAGAGTACTGCTTGAACCCAGGAGTTCGAGGCTGCAGTGGGCTGTGATGGCACCACAGTACTCACAGTGACAGAATGAGACCCTGTCTCAAAAAAAAGGGAGACATAACCCTAGACTAGACGGCCAACCCTTATGAATCTCCTTTATCCTCATCTATATGCTGGGGCAGATGAATGTAGTGGATAATCTTCAAGACTTCTGTCAGTCCCTGGATTCTATATGTCTAACGAAACATTATT